ATTAAATTTGTGTTCTTATAAGCACCAAGTCGTACTGTTTTGATTCGCTCCTCTTAAGCGTATTCTTTTGTTGCTGTTGAGGTGCGTTGAAGTGAAAGTCTAGAAATATAACAAAACACTTAGTGTCAGGTCCCTCGGGAAACCAGTTAGTTTTGTTTTCCTTCGAGTCCTGATGCTTCCCTCGACTTCGTCTCGGGAAACATCAGGACTCTTGGGAAAACAAAATTCCCTCGGGATCTGACATTAAGTGTATAATATCAAATCTTTGCTCAATGTCCCGAAAATACCATATTTCCCGAAAAATTTCCCAGGTTTCCAGATTCCCGGCAAAATCTCCAGATTCCCGGAATAAATTTGTTTTTCTCCCGAAACAGCCCTTGTTAGAGCTGTCACCCCCCGTAAGCTAAAATGAAAGCAAAAACAAAAAGAGGAAAAAACAGGCTCATATACTACAACGAAGATAACCTTTGGAAAGTATCATAATCAACTCGGACAAGACATTGCTGTCTCTAGGTAATTGGGTGCCGGCATATGATGAAATAATAAATTTCATCTTTAGACCGGTCATTGTATCTTAGTACGAGACCTGCTTCCTTAGAGAACAAAAGCAGCGTAAAATCCCTTTTCTTAGCCAGTATAAAATTTGTCAACCTATAAGTTACTGTTGCCCTCGTTTTTTCGTTCAATGACAATTGCAACTGCTGTCTTTCTTGTCCTTCTTGCGTTATCATTCAGGGCCCGATGCCACCAAAGTGTACAAAATTATGGCCATAAAAGAACCCTTTTACCATGCCAAAAACAGAACGTTAAAGCACTTTCCAACCTTGTTGGAAATGGAAAGTCTATCCCAGACAAGCTATCACCTCAATTTGACTGTACCAGTTCTATGGCGCAGGAAAGAATTGCCGATAGCGACAAAGAAGTACGTTACGATTTCACAAAGTCCTGCTACGTTGAAGGGGATTTACAGTTGGTGGTAAAAGTGAAAATAAATACTGACACAGCCGCCCCCGGTGGAAAGGAATGTGCATCTCTTCCAGAGTTTCAAGCAGCGTTTCTCCAACAAGAGCCAAACAAAAACACTTATATGGTCTTACATCCACGATTGGCCCATTGGTTTTTCACTAGAAGTCTTGGAGGATGTGAAATGTTCGTGGCAAAGGGAAGCAACCGCAAAGAGGTTATACACTCCAATTTAGACAAGTGTGAAAACAAACTGGCGAATCTCCAAGAGAAGGGTGCATCAGTAGACAAAATGATGGGACGCCACCCTGGGTATCACTTGATCGCTCGTGTGTACAGTGAACCTCCTGCTGCAGAGAAGCCAGCAGCTGATACGTATATGAGAGGTTATGAAAGAAGCTGAAAGAGCTCACCAGGGAATACTAACCATAGCCTACAACAACCAGCCGCCAACAACACTTCAACAGTTTTAGATTATTGGTAATTACAACGACGCTGAGTACTGGATCTTTACTGTAAAGGGAGAAAAGGACGGCAAAGTGTTTGAACGAATTCAATTCAAGTGAACCCTGTTCCCTATAAAATTTTTTTGTATATGTTAGAGGTTTGCAACTTAGTCGTTTTGAGCTATAACCACTTATATTGACACCTATAATGATAGAATACAGGCAAGGATAAGTGTACATTAGTTTTGTCTTATTTGACGTTAATTCCTTGTTCATCCCTTCATCCATTCCTTCTTAAGTCTCCTGACTGAATAGATTGTCACAGATTTGAATACAAACTGCCTGTCGCCTGTTCTCATATTCCCTCACGTGAAGATTTCCAGCCTCGAAGTCTATCTACTTTTTTGGACTTTGAAAATGTTCATAATTCCATACACTTTCACTAAATTTGCATTTTAGAATTAAGAACTGACCAGGCTGCCATTCTCTTACCTCTGAAAACCCGACATAGAGGAATGTAGTAGGCTATTAATTGGGTCAAATTGACGCCTGTACAGCACGTTCCAGTCCAGTCTTCTTTGGTCGTTACAAAATCTTAGCCTGCTTAGCAAGCGTTTTCGGGCGAGTTTGCAGTTTAGTTTTAGTTGGGACGATCGGAAACGCTCGCTAGAGGGTGGTAAAGGGCGAGCGGGAGGAGGGAGGGGTCCGTATTGTGCCTCCGTATTGCCCTTTTTTACAGCTAGCTAGGCTCATTTTTAGGTTCCATGGCCTGAAATGACGAAAAATTCATGCCCTAAATGTAAAAAGTCCAAAAACGTCCTCGAAATTTTAGTTTCCAAGCCGTTACGTTCCAGTTCAGTCTTCTTTGGTCGTTACAAAATCTTAGCCTGCGTAGCAAGCGTTTTCGGGCGAGTTTGCAGTTTAGTTTAAGTTGGGACGATCGGAAACGCTCGCTAGAGGGTGGTAAAGGGCGAGCGGGAGGAGGGAGGGGTCCGTATTGATCACGTTTCATGAAAAATAAAATGGCCGTTTCACATTTCACGCACAATTTCAAAACTTTCACCAGGGAACGTTTGCAGTAGCCAAAAAGCAAAAATTATGGCACACAGGGCACAAAAAATGGTATCCCAGCACAGCATCTTTTCTTTTGTGGGGATTAGAGTCTGAGAATTAAGATCTCTTCAATAGTGTGTCGAAATTTCTACACGTCTGTACTCTTGTGGGCCGTCTGGACCGATCTCAGTGCGCGTGTCAGAAAAGGTTTCGATCATTTAATTACTAAACTGCACAAACTTTTCTTGAGATCTCATTTTCAATGGCCGATAAAGTGAAGAGTTTTTCGAGACATCGATTAGAAACCTAAAATGAAAAAATCAATGAATTGAAAAACTATAAAGCGACGATTTGTCTTTGAAAAATGTTTTTATAATTACTAGGTTTTACAAGACATCAGTTGCCATCTTGGGGCAGTTGTGTTCATATTTAGTGATAATTAATTTCCTTCTGGACAGACAATTCTATTTACTACAGGCCCGCGTTTGCCACCCAAAGAGCGATGAACTGTCCCACTCTTTCCGTTTGTCGAATTCAACTTGATGTAGTAATACAGTCAACTCTCTCGTAGTAAGCGACCACCGTTTGTGATCGACAAAGTGGTCGCTTACGGGAGGTGGAAGAAGTTATTACCTTACAAGCTAAAACTTAGGCAAATAGACAACTGGCAATAATGTTTCACATCGAATAGCGCTTGGAACTGTTGTTAACATTTTGCAACAATATAAATGTTACAATCCACCTTTTTACTTAAACAGATCGTTTTACAGCCATCTGTTTTGAAAATCTGTCAGTACGCTTGGTAAGCGCCATTAGAATCTGAATTTATTTCTCATTGGAGGCTGGAGTGTCTGGAGTGGTTTTCTAACAATCATACGTGAACACACCGGGTGGTAGAGTCAGGGGAAACAAAACCAAAAGGATTTGTCAAATTTTTGGTTTAAAAAGAGGTTGAAATTTACGAGTGGTCGCTTACGAGAGAGTCTTTGAAACATTATTCGTCGAAAGATAATGAGCGGTGATAAGCAAGCAATAAAGGTGTTAATTACGATTCGATTTGGCGCCCTCCTCCAATAAGTGCCCCTTTTCGAATAAACGCCCCCTTCGAATGTATTTTTGAAAGAGATAATGAGCTAGCTCATTTTCTCTTGATTTTTGTTGATAAGTATTCCATTAAGCGTCCCCATTCTAATAAGCGCCATTCTAAAAATTAATTGGAATAAGCAGCATTTTGGCTCGAGGTAAAAGTCGTGTGTTGACTAACGACCCCCTATCTACACCAACAACGAATTGCAGAACTTATGCGGGAGAAACAATATGAGCAATTTCTATCGTAAGCCCAAACAGCCCTTTATCCGAAATGTTACTATTTATTTTAAAATATATTATAATCTTTTTGTCGGGCATTGTGGCGCATTTTGCGCGCTAACATGGAAAATGTTCCGGAAAATGCTCTGAAAGACGGCAACGAAGGTTGCAGCGCGTATAATTTCAGATCTACCCCCTCGTACATCAGCCACTTAGGCTTGAGATAAACTTGGATGGGAATTGCTCTCAAGAGGACGTGCTGAGCATCGTGCCATCTTTAGGTTTAAGCGCCTGAATAACTTGTTTCCACATTCTTTTAATGTTGTCCTAACTAGAGAACATCTTGATTACAATACCAGGTCTAAGGATAATGTAAGGCTTTTCCAAATAGAAATTGGGGTCTTTGGACTTCGACAAATTTTGCTTCGAACGAATGGAATAATCTAGATAAGTCAATGAGCGAGCTCAATTCACTTGACAAATTTAAAAGGGCCATGTAACAATTTGACTAATTGATAGTTAGTTCTTAGTAAGTTCTAATTTAGTTCTAGATGTGTCTTATTACTTAATGTTTTTTAGTCGGAGGACCCTTCTGTAAAGCACTTTAGGGTGAAGTAGGCATCATCAATAAAGATTGTCATTATTATTAGTACTCGAGTAGTAACAGAGAAAGGAAAATTAAGAACAGTTAGAAGAAGACAACTGAACTAAAGTTCTTTATTTTCATTACTTCATCAGTGACGGCCCCAAATAGGTTTCAGTGTCGGATCCGGTATTGTACATCTTTTAATTTTACAACATAAGGCAGACAAGTTGCAAAAAAACACTGATCACTACTTTGTTAAGAGGAAAAAGTTCAGACGAAAGTAGTCGATTTTCGGCCCACTTTCTCGACTTTCTCAACTCAACGCTTTATGTGTTCTCTGTATTCTATTCCTCAAATGAAATGTGACGAGTATTGCACATCCCTATGTTTATATAAGCCAAAAAAAGGAGGTAACAAACTACTGAAACAAACTCTAAAGGATCAGGGTTATGGGCCCCTGAAAAGATAAAAACAATCTTGATAATTAAAATAATCATTCAGCCATACATCAGGACTAAGATATATACTCTGATCTCGTGAAAAAAAAGTTATGGTGGAGAACTTACTTCCCATTGCCAGCTTCCAAGGGGTATGTCCTGTTTTCCACTTAAGTAAGCTGCAGTTTATCGTAATACACCTGAGCATCAAGTGTATTTAACAAGCTGAATATGTTTAATGTAGAGTCTCTTGTGCTTAGTAATGTGCACGTCAAAAGAAGTATCAGTGAAATAGTCCCCTCTACGTATCCACTCGTTTTTATTCCTCCGCGGTTTCCAGCCCACGTTCAAAACAGCTGACACACTGTAAGATTCGTGAGCAAATTTAGGCATTTTGCAAGAAATTATATATGACAAAGTTTTGCCTCTGCGATAGTTCGACAAATCCACTGCTGTTTTGGCGAGTAAAATCGAAGGTCCATCTGATCGAAGATCTTCCTTAAACTCCACAATCAATCGCGAATTTCGAGGAAATCGTTTCGGAGCCTTACCGAGGAAAGAAATATTCCCTCTAATCTTGATGTATTTTTTAACGTTCACTCGCGGTTTACGTGTATTATGTAGATTAACCGGAGTTAAAACAGGCAGAGATGTTGAGTTGTTGGTCACTGAACTGGTAGTTTTTCTATCCACAAAGGCTGGGCTTACTGTGGACGGCTTTTCGGAACGAATGGTCAAATTTTGGTCAGTTGTAAACGGGGCCTTCGTGTTCCGACTCATCTCAGTATGAATTTTGCTTTCCAGGGTTGTTTTCTCACTCATGCCAGTCTCAGTGGAGCGAGTTTGAGAAACTGCTGTAGTAACAGTTGCAATCGAGGCTGTTTCGCTTGACAACGAGCCTTGTCCTCTGGCCATGACACCCTCATGTTGCTGACAGTCAAACAAGCACACATATTGATATTTCGCGTTGAGTGCAAGAAAAACAAAAACTCCAATAGCCAGTACTAAGAGGATTGTCAACAACACTGCAAGCCATAAGAACAATCGATTTTTACGCATCTCATAGTTGATTTTGTAGTTGTTTTTCATGGTGTAGAAACAACTGCGACTGATTCCAGCGTCAATATGTTTTAGCGATCGTTGCTATTTGCGGACTGCTTGAGATACAGATGCGTCTGTAATATCGCCCAATACAACCTGGAGACATGATCTGAATACTTTTCAGTCGGGAGCAGTGACCCTGTCATTCTATATAATTGCTAACAAGGAAATGTTTGAGCAAAGACGTGTAAGAACGCGCCAAAACAGGATGATT